TTTCCGGAATTGCCGAAAGCATTTTTAAATGTTAACTTCAGTTTCTTTAAATAACTACAACTTTAATGTTGCGGAAATATAAAATCATATTATATTTTTCTGACATACATACATTCTATACATTATAAAGCGTAGTTTGTTGTTATATAATAATAATTAGATAACATATTCTAGATAGATGTTTGTGTCGTTGTATGCTATGCTAATAAAAATTGGTTGATATTATTGCCAATTATTGGTAATTTTTTTTTCCTCTCCTTTCGTAATTGCATGCGTCTTTGCTAAGATAAGTGATAAATGTGGGTCTTTGAAAAAGGAAATTAGAGTAGAAAGGAAAGAAAATTATTGTTACCAGTGTGTGTACTATTATTATTATTATTATTATTATTAATGTGCGGGCAATTCGCACCGATATCTAAAATGTCTTTTTTATTCGCGAGTGTGTGTAGAAAAATTTCAAACAAACAAGGTATACTATGGAAAATTTCAGAGAAATAAGTGTATTCCAGGTTTATGTTATGTCTTAAAGGTCATTGAAATCTCACGATTGCATCTGCATTTTACCCATTTTCCAAAGTTTTGCACAACGGATTTGTTATCGTACATATACAGTCGTGGTATGTATGGGAATTTTGGGAACGACTTGAGTAAACGTGGGCTTTCCTCAAAATTACGGTTTTCTGATGGCTTCTATTGTTCTTAAAACATATCAAAAATCTGGAAAATGTATTTGCACAATGCACACTGTATGGAACTTTTTTCAAGAACCGAGAGATGCTCATCGACGTATTTTCTCTTCTTCTTAAACGCTAGACATTATGCAACCTAGTGTAATGAGGTAACGATGTTTATAATCCACGATGTCCCCCAACTATTCCCTATGTTTATGCTGTTAGTCGTCTGGTGCTTATACATATTGTATTTTTCATAAATTAATGTCTTTACACCCATTGCTTCATTTCTCGACATCTAATTCGATTGATTTCATTCCATTCGCCTGAGTGGCCGAGTAGGCACTAGCGTCGACTAGCAACTCGAGCAACGGTCATGGGTTCAAATCTTAAACTTGGAATTTATCCTCTGGCTAAATTTATAATAATAATAATAATTTTATTTCGTTGACAATACTTTATTTTATCCTCTCATAAACTGGCTTTCAATTACGTGTATCTTAATCATATATTCCTTATAGGATTTCATCATTGCAGTAGCTTATTGGACATATTCACCTTGTTAATATCGATGCAACCTAAATGTCACTGTGATGAGCTTTAAAATGAACTTTAATTTACTGTAATAATGGTATTGAAAGATTTTCTATGATATATGTCCGACTTCGCTCCGACGAGGAGACGGAATGGAAATCCTCTCATCTTTCCGTTACTGTAAGGTTACTGGGATTATACTTATATTTTGCGTGGTCAAGTTATGTAAGCAAATATGTAAAATGCTTACATCAGTTTAGAATACAGAATTCTTGCACCGTACACACAGTGCACACGTATAACATACTAATGCATACGCCTGAGTAACCGAATAGGCAGATGGTCTGTATTATTAACTCAGTGGTGATCGGTTCAAATCTTAGGTGCGGCAGCAAATTACCCATGAGTTCTTCCATCGAATGTACCTTACATTTCTAACATTAAAACGCTCGTGTATTTTTGAGAAACAGCAAAGTCATAGGTAGATATATTCAAGGAGTACGATATTGGGCCGACAATATTACTCTTACTTGGGCGATGTCGAAAAACTTTTATTAAAGAACATCGGGATCTTTTACAATCAGACAATCTTCCCCTTACTTTTTTGACAGAGTATTGAGTGTGTTTTCATATTCGTATGTGCGTAAGCACTTTATTTGCTCCATTGGTTACTGATTCATTCAATGTTATGTCCTTTCAGCGTATTCTGTTTATTAAATCACTTATCACTAAGTGTAAAAGTAACCATATGTGACTTTATATTTTGAGGTAATTTAATTTTTCGTGAATCATGTAAATACATTAAAAAATTTTAAAAACTAAAATTGCTTTTGCTGATATTAAAAAGAAATTATTCAACCCTTTGCTTATATTCAGTGATTCACAAAATAATTTAATTTTTGGATAACATTTTAATATCAGATAACAGTAGCTTTTAGCTCTTCTTTAACGTCATTTTAGAAGATCTCTAAGACTGTAAATAACCAATTAATGACTAAAATTCTAAAAGAATCAAAAAAAGTATTTGTTAAAATAGTACCCAAGGCAAAGTTTAACGTCATTACTGAATTAGCAAGCACATAAACTCAGAAATCACTCGAAATGTTCGACTTCTTCATATTCTCATTTTCGGCTCATGGTGGATACATAGAGAGAAAGAATTTTTTGAAAGCTTTTCATTGTTCTTGAATCGCAATCAAGAATTCATTTAATCAAAAGTCTTCGATAAATTGGCACTTAAACTTAAGGATATCGCATCTGCGATATTGAAAATATTATCATCAACTTTTACATTTTCTTTGTTTCTACATGCATTTGCGTTTCAATTGCATATATCATATGTTTATTTCCATGTATGAGAATTTACTGCGAATTAGTTTCCAAAAGCAACTAACATCTGGTACTATATTCTTCACATAGAAAATGCATAGGAATATGTTATATTAAACGTATGGTTGGAAATTCTATGCAATGCGCAACAAGAAGCTTGAACACATTTTATCTGAGGATAAGATAAAAAATATGTAGACACTTTACAGCGAAGCAGATAAATATTTAAAAATCTAAAAATAGCTCGCAATGTCGCTTGAAATTTGTATTGATTTATTATTTTTCTTATTCTGTGTTCCTGGTACCGATGTATATTCACTATTTACCTATTTTGGCAAGGGCTGGAAAGATTTACAGTCAAGTTTACTTTTGAGTGACGCATGCAATAACCTAAGCAGCTTAGTCGCAGCTGATCCGTCTCTTTGTTCGTTTGTCCGCTTGTTCATGCAGAAGTCAGTTCAATCGGTGTGTGTGTTTTTTTATGCTATCCATCCACTCATTTACGTGAACGCTTGTCCTTGCGTCCGTTTTTCCCATGTGATCTGTCTCTTTTTTCCTATGTGCGACCTCACGATTACTATTAGCAATCTTTACATTTGGTGTTAATCCGTTAAACTTTTCTCAAGTCCATCTTTCGCGGTGTGTACGTTTCATTACGTCAATCTGTCCCTGCACAGTTGTCCATCTGTCGTTTATATCGCCTTGCGCTTAGAGCTGCCGATCATTGCGCTTATCTTTATGCCGTTACGTTCGTCTATCATTGCTTTCATTCACCTTACGTCTCCTGATCACTCTTTGCCCTATTGTTTAAGTTTCGTGGTCTACTTTTAGCCTGTTGCCTGTCGTGTTTGCATGTGGCTTTGCATATATTCCGTTAATTTACGTTCCCTCTATCCGCAGATCCTTCCTACACACTGTTTACCTCTGTCGATTAGTCTGATAGTAGAAAAGATATAAAGTAATTATAAATTTCACAAAAGATTTATTTAAAGTGATGTTATTTTTTCATTAGACAACTGAAAAACTGGGATAAAATCATACAGGCATTTGTGTTTACTTAAACTATTACAGAAAACTCTCCACAAGAATAGAAAATTATTCCCATTAAGCTGCTGAATAAATAGATTACTATGCTTACCGAAATTTATTGAGTTTTTGACGGTCATAATTGAGAGCATGCTTGTTGTCTTTTGGGAAAAGAACATGTTTTCTTCTAACCATTGCATGGCAATACAACACCAAATCGCTAAAGTTTTGTGACTATCTTAGGCAACTATCTTAGTGGCGAAGGCATATCATATACGTTTGCTCTGTCGCCTATATACAAGCATGACGATTAGGTTTCGATGATTTTAAATGTATAAATAAAATTGAAGATAGTTTTCGAAAAACAACTTCAAGAAAGTTCGGATATAAGGCGATACACGATATCTACGCCTATAGCTTTAAATGCTAATGCTTTAATACTTTAGGCTTAGGATTCATTTCTCTGGCTAAACTAGCAGTATTAATAATAATAAACCGGATATTATAAATAAAGCGCACAATTTTATTAGTAACTGATTTTTTATGTCTTCGGAGTTTAAACAGAACACTTTTGTATTTACAAACGTAAACGTACAGAGAAAGAATTGTAAAGCATTTTTATTATTAATTCTAGTCACAGATTTTCACAAAATTATTTTAAAATATATCTACCCTATTATGCGCATTGAACGACCCTTGCATAACATGTTTAGAAATTTGGGATTGTTTTTTATGAGCTGATGTCCATTTACGACTCCTGTCTGACAATGGTGCTGATCAGAATATGGCTGCTAGAATGATATTAGTATTTTAATCAAATGACCTCACTTCAAGTACATTACATTGCATTGAAAGCATTAAATTATCAATTTCATGCTCTAAATATGTGACTTTTCTTTACATACAAATATATATAATGAATACAAAACAAAAGAGGAAAAGTTGAGAAGAGAGAAAAATGTTGAGCACTTAAGAAGCAAGTAAGTTAGTCTTCTGGTTATATCTGCAAATTTAATATAGATGTTAAATTTCCTTATTTTTAATAATAATCATTATCAGGGAGGTAGAAGAAGATATTTTAACGAAATTTTACGAAATTTGAGATAAATTCTGCATGAATAAATCGTGATTTTTGGTACGATTTCAACCAAAAATTACGGAAATGTGCGAACTCATTATAATAATCCTCAGTACAATACAATATCAGATAAAATAAATCATATAAATATTCCTTTTATGACGGTTATAAATATGTTTCATTATCTGATATATGTAATAAAATGAAGATATGAAACTTCTTATAAATATATATTTACTAATGAAGTAATTCGTTGGTTATTCTAAATCATGACGAATCGCATTTATAGAAAAATGAAAGATTGTACGGTGCAGCTAATGTATTGTATATGCCAGCGCGCTTAAGCAAACGAGCTTACTTACCTATAACATTTAACTGAAACGCCATAGAGATTTTTGGTTCGGTATTCACTTGGCACTCATAAATTCCGCTATCGCGTGCCTGCGGTGATTTCACATGCAATGTCCATTCTCGAGAATCTTTTGATTCTGTCACCTTTAAAGATATTATTTTCGAGATTGGTTAAAAAAATGAAAACAAAATGAATATATAATAAATGTTTGTGTGTTCAATATGTATGCATTAAAATTCTCAACTAATTGATAGCATAAGTTGTAATTGGACAGCAAAAAAAAAAAAAAAAGAAAAAAGAATAACTCACTATTAAATGCTCCTTTGAGAGAAAATAATGCGCAAAAAAGCAGAAGCGGAATACATTTTAAATCGACAAATTGACAGCAACAAATTTTATGAATAATCCATAAAAATGCTTTTTCCTACATTTCATATTTCCTTCTTTTTTTTGTTTTTTTTTTTTTTACGTTGTTTAATCAACAGTCGGTTTGATTACATAGCTTTTTGTGTTGGTCAATTTTTATTTGATTAAAGGAAAAGAAAAAAACATGCACTGGAACGCATGTTTATCAACATGAATTTTTATTTATTTATTTGATTTATTTTTTTTTTGTTTTTTTGCAATATCTAGCGCATAGGAAACCGTTGATGTTATAAGTGAGTATCACGTATTTTCATTCATTCATATAACCGCAATATATGAGCAATTCGTAGAATTGAATATTTAGCAAAATAGCCGAAATGAAAAGTAAGCATTAAGTGACGATGAGCATCGTAGGAACAATTTGAATTTATTTACATTAGTAACGAATTCGTTTTAAACACTTACCTGAAAACGTTTATCGGATGTATAAGTGGCCGTACCGACAGTTAATATATGCAGATCACGTTTTCGTATCCAGGAAACCTGTAATATAAGAGCCATAAATACACACAAACTTTTATGTTTATACACATGTTATTCATTTATACGATATAAATATATTGATGGATTGCAAAAGTTTGTATTCGATTTAAAACCAAAAGAAATATAATATATAGTTTTTGAAAAGTAATATTCATCGATAAACGAAATATTCTTTGTTTCACTTCTATATGCACAATACCCGTCCAAAGGTAAGCTGACTTACGGACGGCAATTGTTGTTTAAAGAAAATCACAATGATTGAAATAACGAACGTTGTTTGGGCTTAAGCTTCAAGTGTGAAGGCGAGAGCGTTGCCTACTATTTATAATAACGAACGTTGTAAGAGAATTTGTGAAGAAGGTGAAAGCAGATCAGGGGCTCTTTGAAAATATCTCATTTCCAACTTATGTTATGAGATGATCGAAGAAAGGTTCGTTTTCTTTACGGCCGTAAAGAGAATTTTTAGTTTATTTCATCCGGTCCGTATATACCGCTTGCAATGAACTCAGATTGCTTCCAATGATGAAATCCAATTGCTTCGTCAACAATATAATTAAATATTAAGGCTACACATGAACTAACTTTGCTAAACTTTCTCTAAGGATTGTATTAACACATAAGATATTGAGAAAACTTTCAATTAATAAAATAATTAGAAAAGTTTACAACATGCAACACTGTAAAATGTGCATCTTTCTGTCGTCTACGACAATTAATTAATAATAACTTTTGCAATCATCTCATATTTAATATTTCGCAAATTTTATGTACCATGATAGGAAGATAGTGCGGGTAGGACGTCTACTTAAGGAAATGAGACATAAAACAAGTAATGAAAGTGATTTCTAGGAAGAAATCTTCGCAATTTTTCTATTGCATGCTCTACGCTTTGATACTTAGTAACTAAGGTTAGGCGAAACAAGCCAGAAAATTATATTCCGTTGTAATCAAATCGATGCCATTACCATTATTCCAAAAAAGCTCTAAAAGAAGGAATAAATTAAATATCCATATTTTACAAAGTTGGTGGACGCAGTTGATTTTTTCTAATTTTTTAGAAAAGAAAATTTCAAATTGATATCGTGTCCCTGAAGCAGATGCTTTCACTTTTGTGAAGAAAAGTGCGTTTACACAGCGGTTAGGAGGCACATGGGCACATGGACTGACAAGTAAAGCGACAAGAGTTCAGATTTGATATGAATCAATAGCATGTCGAGTCTACAAGGATCTCTGAAGCTTGTCTCCAAGTATCGCAAACATTTTGGCAATAGAAGGAAACTTCAAAATGCTATAATATTAAGCAGGCGTAGCACATATTTTCCGTTTTTAAACAGCTGATGCGGGTCCACCCTATAGATGTTTTTTTTTATCGTTTTTAACGTTGTATATAATGTGGCTTGTAAGAAACGAGCAAAAAATTTTTGTTTTTTTTATTTAAGTTATACTGCAGGCTTGTCCTTTAAGCGTGTCAGTCCAATGTCGGTATTACCTTGCGTACAAGAACAAGAAGTAAATAGCTTACGAGCAGGAGAATGTTACTTACCACCGACACTACGCAGATGGAGAGACGGACGGACAGATGCAAATCCTTAAATCGGTTCAGAGTTTGATGCCGATGAGAGATATATATACACCTTACGGGATCTGTGACGTTTTGTTCGAACAGGACAACGTTTACTACCGAGGCGGACGGAGAGATGCAAATGCTTAAATCGGTTCAGAGTTTGATGCCAATGAAAGGATAGATACACTTTATCGTATCTGTGAAGTTTTGTTGTGGCTGTTACAAACGTTTTGACAAAATGAATATTCCGCTTATTCTTCGTTGATCTATAAGTGATGGTGAAGTATAAGTGCTTTCGTTATAAGCTATTGTATAAGAGTTTTTATATTGTATTTCCTTAGTTCTAGTAAATCCTAATAAGGAATACATGGTTCCAAGACAACATAGTTGCCTTAATATGCACTTGCTTTCACGAAAACTCTTGCGTGGCGACAAAGCCGAAACTGTCCAGCTTACACTGCAAGACTCGGAAATTTGCAGGTGTTTTTATTAAAAGAAACATGGCACTCTTCAGGCTAATTGTTAAATATTCCATTTATTAAGGGCATGTCGTGTGCCTAAGCAAGATTAATTTGACTTTAACTTAAAAACATGTTCCCATCAAATTTTAAATCCAAAAATGATTTCATTGTCGGATCTCAAGCGTTTTCAAATCAATCTTATTTAGTAAACATCAGCGTTCTTTTCGTGAGTATGGCGACCCTAGAAATCACAACAGAAGATGACGGACACGATTTACTTTGATGCACCTAATGATCGGTATCCTTTTGCAGCAACTATCATGAGTGATGTTAGCACATTTTATATCGAAAATAAAAGAATGGAAAATGTCAAGGTCAAAAACAATGTCAAGCTAGAACTTGTACAAAGATTTTACGTGAACTATTTATGTGCGCTTGCATCAATTTTTTGGCAAACTTTTGCATACTTGAGTGTTTGTATGATAGGTTTTCTTCAACTTATATGAATACAGCTGCTTAAACTAATTTGGCAGTGCATCTATGTCAGAATTGGCAATTGTTATCTTCCTTCTTCCTCTTTCATTAACGTTTTTTGTTAATATTGATTTGACTTTCAATGTCGCTTAATTTTCTTAAATTGCAACAAGTACGAAAATTATATTCGATAGCGACCGAATCTTTTATACCCTTCACCGTTTGAATGTAACAATATGTAGGTTTGTAATGGTCTCTGGTGCTTCCTTCTGATAACTGCAAACGATTCGATAAAGTAATGGAATTTCGAAATTCTATAAGGCTTTTTTTCATTTTTTGTATAGGTGCTACAATATCATTCATAGAATAAGAAAGGAAATTTTTATGTCCTCCGCCTTATCTGACCCAATTTCAATACCAAACAGCGTGAAAGAACTTGTAGAGTTTTTGGCTAACTTGAAGTCGATTACATCATTTTTTGTAGCGAGGAGAACGCTTACTGCATACTTTATGGATGTGATCAGAGAGACGGACACGTTTTACTCGTTTTGGAATTTAATGACATATTTTAGCTGAGGTTCACTTCTGAATGTTGCAAACGTTTCGACAAACTAAATGGCATCCCTATGTCTTCGATGATAAGTGTAAAGAGAAAGCGATTTAATTCTTTATTAACGTAAAAGTTTCACTTACCGATTTATCATCAAGTCTATCGACTCGACATCTAATGACAGCTTCCGTATGACCAGTGCGTGCAGTTATATTACGCGGCATACCAAAGTCAAATATTGGCATTGCATCTTTCGTTAACGGATATGTAAAGTCATCATTATCGAAGCTGGTCATTTGACTGAGCAACGATTGACTTGTGTCGGCCATTAAACCGCCGCCATCTATGATGGAGAGACTTTGAAAAGTATGATTATTGTTCGTACCGAGTGACATTCCGCTGTTGAATATAAATTCCGTTGAAAATGATTGCATTTGTTGTTGTTTTTCTTGTTGTGGTATTTCCGTCTCGCGTCTCGTCTCCTCTTCTTCTTCTTCTTTTTGGTAAATCTCATTGTTGTGGCTCTCCGACAGTTGCGAAGGCGTTTGTAATTGTCCTTCCATTTGCGGTTTCATTTGCACTTGCTGTTGCGAGTGCACATCGTGTTGTTTGTTGGGCGGGTATTCATTTAACTGAACGGTAAAGGTAATTGGTGATTTTCCAGTATCTACTTCATCCGTTGAGTTTCCTTTTGGTATTTGTACAGCCATGGCATTCAATACTGAAAAGAAACAAAAGACAACTGAATGAGCACAAAAAGGCATACTTTTTCACTTTTCATTCTTCACGTTACACACAACGCACTATTCAATGCGTTTGCCTGACGTGAAAGGGGAATAAAATTACATTTTCTTCGCTTTTGTGCTGTTGAAGGGCTTTATGCAGTTGCATTTTTCATTGCAAGGTTTGTTTCATCTTTGGTGCTGCTCATGTTTTCTTTTTCTCTCTCTCTTTCATTTTTATAAGCTTATTACGGAAAGTTTGTCTTGCATTTTTTGTTTTTTTTTTTGTTTTTTTTTTTTGAATTCTTTCTTATTTCTGTGCAAATGAACGATGTCTACGCGTAGATTATACTACGTTAAAGATGGAAGATGAAATGATTGTGGCGAACATAAAATGCTGTAATTTTAAATACTTTGCAAATTACTTCCCAAATAATTTTAATCTTAAAATGCTTTTGGCTCACTATAGCAGATGTGTAAAAAAAAAAAAAAAAAAAAAAAAAAAAAGAAGAATATAAGGTGACTGCGAGATGAAAGTTTCACTTTTCGCTTTTCACTTTTTACATGGGTTTCATCATCCATTGTGTGGGGATAATACGTTTTTCGTGAAATGCATAGCAAAATGAAAATACATTTACAACGAAATGACAAAGCGAAAAAGTGTTAAAAGGTAAGAAGAGTTACATAAATATTTTTCTTCTTCTTTTTTTTTTTTTTTTTTGTTATAGAAAAATGCTTGCAAACATTTTGTTTAATATGAAATGAAACTTTTGACGGTATTGTTAACAAAATTTTGAGTTTACTTTGAGTTAAGTATCTTTTGTTTTTATTCTGTTTGTGATGTGTGTAAAGAATAAAACTACTTATGTAAATATATACATGCATATATTATTGATAATTTTCAAAAATATCTTCAATTAAATACATAGAGGAAATGCAAACATTTTAAACTGAGTTTTACGTTTACCCCCAACGCCTTAACCGACAATGGGGAACAAGCTGAAAGGCACAGATTACATAATATATGTGTACGATGTGCTATGTACAATGCATGAGCAGAGTATTTTAGCAAAATTTTACAACAATTTGCATAACATTAATGAACTACTACCACGAACACCACTAACTGCAGCAAAAACCACCGAAAATAAAAGTTGTCAAGAACAAGTTAATAAATGGCAGCAAAATTTTAATGTATTTTCACTTGGCTTGTCGTTAAGAAATATACGAAATAGTGCATACATGTGTATACATGTGTTCATGTTGCTGACGATAATGATGACGATGATGACGATGTTAGCTTTAAAGCAGAAAATTTGAAAACATCATATGGTTTAAGTTGCTATTATATATTCATTCAATTTCGAATATTTGTGTTAATTATATTAACTGATAAATATGATTGGCGATAAATGCTATAAAATTTTAAAAAGCATTCGAAATTGTGGTATATTTTTTCAATTTATAAAATTTTTCATAAATAATTACTTAACAAAGAATCAATTATGTTTATTCAAACTACACAACGCGTTTTTTTATTAACTTGTTTTTGTTTGATCAGCCATTCTTTGCACGTCGCCTGCACATGTACGAAAGGTGACGATCCAGGAAGACTAAAAGGGAGCTTTAAAGATGTTGCTCTATTCGGTAATTAACAAAATTTCTAGATCTCATAAGCTGACTGAAAATTTCCACCTTACAAAATGTATTGCATAATTTAAAGTCATGATGGCGGGCGAAAATGAAATTTGAATAAACGGTTTTCTTAAAAAAAACTATTAATAGGACTGGCAAGGAACTCAATCTGGGTAATCGTAAATATCCCTTGATCATCGTAAACAACAGATCTTTTAAAAAATATATATATATGTGATTAACTTGTACGCTATTGTAACTTTTAGTTTCGATTAGTAATTTAGAAAAACTTTCTATGTAGTTTGTGCTTCTCATATTAAACGATCGGGAAATGAATTCAAATTCAAAAATTGTTACTAAAACTCAATGCGTATATTTCGAGGTATTGGAGTGGTTGAACGGATAATTGCTTGTACTTTGTTTTATAAGACAATATCAAAATTCCTTTTAATTTGAGTTCAGTAGTAAAAAGTCTTATAAACAAAATTCTGATGCTTCGCCTTCTTTGCCACACATTAATTCGTGAAGTGCAGCGGTTTTTTTTTTTTTTTTTAAAATAAGAAGAAAATTCGTTGCATGTGCAGAGAAAAGAGAAAATGCGATAAAAAGCTTTCAACTTTTTAGTAACTTAACTCAAAGGTGTCGTAGGTTCAAACGTCAAAAAGAAAATAAAATCCAAACATAAGAAATCTGTCAAAGCAATGAGAACATTGTCAACTACAAGACAAAAGTAGCCTCTTGCTAAATCAGTGTTTTTTTTTTTTTTTTGAATTGCAAAAAGAAATGCCTTACCTTGGAATTAGACTGGCTCTGCAACATCTATTGACATAAGAGTTACGTACCACAAGCGTATATAAAGTTGTAATGAGCCAAAGGAAAAGCCGTGGCTTCATTTTAAATTACCACTGCAACATATCTTGACATAAGGGTCACGTACCACAAGGGCATACAGAGTTGTAATGAGCCAAAGGAAAAGCCATGGCTTGTTATCAAATCGACACTGCAGCAACTATTGACATAAGGGTCACGCACCACAAGGGCATACAGAGTTGTAATGAGCCAAAGGAAAAGCCAAGGCTTGTTTTCAGACCGGCACTGTAATGCTGCAGCGACTTAAGATTTGAAGATTTGTAATGAGAACCAAAGGAAAAGTCTTGTCTTCATTTTAGACCAGTACCGCAACATCTTTTGGCATAAGGCTAACGTACGACTATAGCATATAAAGTTGTAATGAGTCAAACTTAATTTCTCGTAAGTTACTAATAAAATGATTTTAAAATTTCCTATGTTTTCTCGGAATTAACTGTATGTGGATCGCACTGTATGCGCATTAATATTGATTTGTGGCCTGAACTGCTTAAAATATTTACTAATTATGCCAAGTTTCACGATTGCGTAAATTTTTGCAATTCTTCACAAAATCTTTCTTGGATTAAGTATGTATATATATATATATATATAAATATACATCTTATTGAATGACTCCCTTGGGCAAAATATAATGAAAGGAAAAAAATTAATAGACTCTGTGCTAAGTACAATAAGACAATGAAAAACCCATTATTATTTTTCTATGGTTTGCTTCTCATAGCTTTTTAGCGAATTGTGTAACCGATAAAAATATATATATATTTTTTAAACGGTCTACGTTTTCATCCTTTTCTACAAGGACATAAATTCTAAGACAACCTCAATAAAATTAAGTGAAGAAAAAACGCTGCCAACAAGAACAATAAAAATGTATATCAATCATATGTTGTAAAAAAAGAAAGCCAACTAAATCTACTTAGTTTGGTAATTTCGCTTCACTCTGCTACTTCAGTAACTTAAAAAGTTCATATATATACACTGTATATTTAAGTGAATGCATTAATGTATATACAAGTATCTGGCAAGTATTTTAAAGCGTGTACATAATGTCTTTTCAAGTGAGTCACAATTTCGTTTGTGTGTTGGTGTGTGTGTGTGTGCGTGTGTGTGTGTAGGCTTCTATTTTACAATTCAATCTAAAGAATAAATATGAAAAGCTTTTGCCTGCGAAAGAGACAATTTGATATTGCCATCATATTACATTACGTTCAAACAATAAAAGAATGGCAAAGAGAAAAACCCAACCATGTATCGCATACATATGTCGACACTGCAAGAAGATGGTAAACACTTTTCGATTTTCCTTTAAGCAGAACGGCTTATATTTAAAAAGAAACAGCGAACTAAAATATAACGCTTATCAAAAAAAAAAAAAAAAAAAAAAAAAAAAAATTATTTAAAAAAAAGTGTTTTTTCTCTGCCTTTTTAAGTTGCTTTTTACATTCTCCTCCTCTACGTTTTGGTTTTTCGGTTTATTTTTTATTTGTTATGTTCAATAAATCGTTTTTAAAACAACCACATTTATACACAATACTATATGTATACATACCTATATAGTATATACCTATAGGCACAATAAATAAATACATATTTGTATACATGTGTGTTTTTAAGAATACATATATATCCAGGTGCTTGGTGTGGAAGCAATTCCTTATCGATTGTTCTAAGAGATGGCCTTACTCAGGTTGTGGGCGCGAAAGTATAATGTGTAAATCTTAGTTATTCCACCAAAGTGTAACGTAGTGTCCACGTATCAAGGAAAGCAATAAATGGCAATCACTACTGCCATCGAGCAGAAAATGATGCACAATATAACGATTTTAAGAATATTATGGAAAAATTCGTTGGTAACGACAGAACAGAGATATGCTGTGACATTAGTGCTTCCGATCAACGTTGATTTCCGTCGATGATTTATTACATTACAGGGCTTTCATCCTTGTAACCATACTCATACAATTACATACCATACATAGATGGCCTTAAAAATCTATTTGCACTTTCGACATGGAATTCATATTTTACTTCCTTTTATTGTCTACTCTCACAAGCATTAGATGTCTTTTAGCCTTTTTAGCAATGTGTAGCTAGCAACACACAATACTTTTTCCAAATCCGATACAAATATCTTTTATAATTTTCTTGAAATAAGTGTTTTTTTTTTTTTTTTTTTCATAAAAAAAACTATTAAAGAAATATTTCTACACTTAATGTATGAATAAAAATGAAATGTGTATGCAAAAGCATTTCTGTAGATCTTTACAAGGTCGTCCGTCTCCAAAGAGGATTACGAATACAAGTCAATGCCAGCATGCATTCTTGTTTCAAACCGATATGTGACATTGTATATATTCAGTATACACACACACACACAAATAAAAATGTTTTATTTGCCTTTTAAACGAGTCCTCAATATTCAATACATCAATATTTGATAAACGATGGTACTGATGAACGCAGATCATTTCATATTAAACTTGTCACCTAATTT